ACACACACTCTCTCACACACACACACACACACACTCTCTCACACACACACACACACACACACACACTCTCTCACACACACACTCAGGGCTCATTTGTATTCATGAAGAGATTCAGTCTCTCAAATGCTGTTAGAGGAAGTGATGCAGATTTCAACTCACTTTTGCTTTTTAATATCCACCTTTCAGCATCCAATCAATTCCTGATGAATTAGATTAGAAAAATTATATATTTTTTCTCCTCGAATGTCGCTAGTTTTATTGCCTTTCAAGCACTGTTATTCACTTTTAGGATATGTGCACTACTGGTAAGATTATAATGTTTTTGAAAGAAGTATTTTATGCTTATCAGGCTATACAGCAAAAATTTGAAATATTATAATTTCAAATAGCTGTTTTCTATGTGGATATATTGTAAACTGTCATTTATTGCTGTGATCAAGGCTGAATTTTCAGCAGCTGTGCTGCTTCATATTTTTGTGGAAACCATGATACATTAGCATTAAAAAGTTTGAGGTAAAAAAAACAAAATAAAAAATAATTAATTAATACTTTTATTCAGCAAGAAGCAAATGGCTGCAATATAACAAAGAGTGAAAAATTTAAGAGGGTCTGAATACTTTCCGTACCCACTGTGTGTGTGTATATATATAGAGAGAGAGAGAGAGAGAGAGAGAGCAAGGATCAAATTTAATTTTGATATTTTCTGGTTTTACTTTAATTTTTAGTTAAAGTTTTAGAAATGTTGTTGTGTTTTTGTCATTTGTAAAATATTTAATAATATTTATTAGTTTTATTTTGTTTGTTATTTCAGTACTTCAAGTTAACTAAATAAAAATGAGAAATAGCAACTAGCTGAAATAAGTTTTTTATATTTTATTTTAGTTATGTTAAAGTTTTTTTTTTTTTTTTTTAAGTAACAGTGATATTTTTTTTATGGTTTCAGTTTTAACAAAAATAACCCTGCTTTAAAGCTAGTGTGGGATTTGTAAAAATATCTAGACTTTTCCAGTTTTTTCTCTCAGTAACTTCACTGAAGAAGGTCCAGGACTCATGAACGCTGTGACTCTGTGTTGTAGACTCAGACTGGTTCTTGTTTGTTTGTACCTGTGTTATAATCGGAGGCTGATGAAACGAGCGCATTCCAGCATCACGTCCGGGCCTGTTTGTGGCTTTTGTTTCCCGTTAAATATTTTTTCAGAAGCTGATGAAGGATCTGCACTGGCCTCCACATTCCTCCGGAGTGTGTTTTCATGACCGTGTGTCTGTCTGTGTGTGTGTGTGTGTGTGTGTGTGTCTGTGTGTGTGTATCTGTGTATCTGTGTATCTGTGTATCTGTGTGTCTGTGTGTCTGTGTGTCTGTGTGTCT